CTGATAATTTGAATGGCTGTATATTTCTCATCAGAAGTCATGGAGGCCAGAAGGAAGTGGGGGATTTTTAATGTGCTGTAAGAAAAGAACTGTCAACCTAGAATTTTATATCCTCTAAAAATATCTTTCATGAATTAAAGTAAAATAAAGACATTCTCATATGAAGGTAAGCTATGAGAACCAATCACCAGATCAGCTCTAAAAGACATGCTAAAAGTAGTTTTCCAGGTAGAATGGATATACCAATGGAAACTTAGAACATCAGAAATTAAGAGCAACAGAAATATGACAAATATCCAGGTATACGTAATGGATTGTTCTCCTTTTGAATTCTTAAAAATATGTACAACAGTTCCCAAACAAAATATACAACCCCCTGTTCAGTGGGTTTTATAATTTATAAGACAACTATGACAGAAAAAGGAAAGGATAAAGGAATATAAATGGTGATAAGATACCTATATTTCACTTGAATTGGTAAAATACTGATTTTAAGTAAACTATAGAAGTTCGTTTAGGATAATACCTAAGAAAAGTAAAAAACTATACAGATAGAGTAAAAAATCACAATAGATAAAATACTAAAAAATGCTCAAGAAATCCAAAAGAGAAGGAAAAGGGAAATGGGAAAATATAAAAGAGAAATCATACAGAAAACAAGTAATAAAATGGCAGATATAATCCAACATATACATAGTCTAAATAAAGTAAAATATCGAGATTGTCAGAAAAACTAAAGCATGAATCAGTATATGCTCTCCACAAGAAACTGACTTCAAATATAATGACAAGGGTAGGTTAAAAGTAAAATGATGGATGGGATGCCTGGGTGGCTCAGTCAGTTAAGTGGCTGCCTTCAGCTCAGGTCAGGATCCCAGGGTACTAGAATCCGTCCTGTGTCCTGCGTCAGGCTCCCTGCTCAGCCAGGAGTCTGTTTCTCCCTCTTCCTCTGCCCCTCCCCCTGCTTGTGGTCTCTCTTAATCAAATAAATAAATAAAATCTTTTAAAAAATAAAATGATGGAAAAGACTTACCACACAAACACTAATCAAAAGACAATAATCCTAGATATTTATGTACCAAACAACAGAGCTTCAAAAACTAACAGAACTAAAAGGAGAAACAGATCCATTATTATAGTTGGAGATTTCAATACTCCTCTTTCAGTAATGACACTGGTAGAAAATCAGCAAGGAGGGCACCTGGGTGGCTCACAGATGGTTAGGTGACTGCCTTCGGCTCAGGTCATGATCTTGGAGTCCCACGATCGAGTCCTGCATGGGGCTCTCTGCTCATCAGGGAGTCTGCTTCTCCCTTTGACCCTCCCCCATCTCATGCTCTTTCTCATTCTCTCTCGCTCAAATAAATAAATAAAATCTTTAAAAAAAAGAAAATCGGCAAGGATACAGAACTGAACAATATTAGGAGAATCCACACTCTTCAAGTACACACGGAACACTTAGCAAAACAGACCGTATCTTAGGTCCTAACAAACTCTTAACAATTTTAAAAGAACTGAAATCATATAAAATATGTTCTCTAATGATAATGAATTTAAACTGAAAATCAACAACAGAAAGATAACTAGAAAAACCTCCAAATGTTTGGAAATTGAAGAAATATCAAGGAATATTGGATAATATTCTGAACTGAATAAGAATAAAAATATAACACAACAAAATTTGTGTGACAAAGAAAATACAGTGTTTAAAAGCAAACTTAGAGCATTAAATGCTTCTGTTAGAAACGTCTCAGATCAGGCGCCTGGGTGGCTCAGTAGTTAAGAGTCTGCCTTCGGCTCAGGTCATGATCCCAGGGTCCTGGGATCGAGTCCCACATTGGGCTCCCTGCTCGGCAAGAAGCCTGCTTCTCCCTCTCCCATTCCCCCTACTTGTGTTCCTGCTCTCGCTATCTCTCTGTCAAATAAATAAATAAAATCTTAAAAAAAAAAGTCTCAGATCAATGATCTAAGTCTCCACCATAAGAAACCAGAAAAAGGGTAAAAATAAACCCAAAGCAAGCAAAAGGGAGGAAATAATAAAAAGCATAAATTACTGAAACTTAAAATAAAAAAACAAAGTAGCAATAGACTGTAAGCTGGTTCTTTGAAAAAGAATACAATTAAATTAACTGTAGTTTACACTGACAAAAAAAAACCCCAAATTATTAGTATCAAAAATGAAGGAAGAGGGGCACCTGGGGTGGCTCAGTCAGGTGGGCATCTGCCTCCCACTTAGGTCATGATCTCAGCGTCCTGGGATCAAGCCCCGTGTCAGGCTCCCTGCTCAGCAGGGAGTCTGCTTCTCCCCCTCCCCCTGCTCTCTCTCTCTCTCTAATAAAGACTTAACAAAAAAATGGAGGAAGAAATATCACTGACCCCTAAAACATAAAAAAAGAGAATACCACAAGGAATTTTACATATAATTTCCATAACTTCAATGAAATTGACCAACTACCAAAACTCATCCAGATAGAAATAGATAACTGAAGTTATCCAATAACTATTAAATAAATGTAATTCTTAGTAAAATCCTTTTGAAATACATGTCAAGGCCCTGATAATTTCAATGCCAACTTCTACCAAACATCTAAAGAATAACATTAAGTCTACACAATCTCTTCAAGAAAGTAGAAAAAGATGGAATACTTCCCAACTCATTATATGAAACCAGTATCACCTAATTACAAAACCAGATAAATACAAAAACACTACAGTTCAATATACCTTATGAACATAGACATAAAAATCCTCGATAAATTAAGTCAAGTTGAATTCATCAGTATATAAAAACAGTAACACAACAACAACACAACCAAGTAAGATTTGTATCAGAAATGCAAGGCTGGCTTCAATAATCAAAAATCAGTCAACGTGACCCACCATATTAACATTCTAAAAGAAAAAAAAAATCTTTTCAATTTACATGAAAAAACCATCTGACAAAATTTAACAAATGTTCACAATAAAAACTCTCAGCAAATGAAAAGGGATTTTCCTCCATTTAATAAGGGGTATTCTAGGGGCACCTGGGTGGCTCAGTCGTTAAGCGTCTGCCTTCGGCTCACGTCATGATCCCAGGTTCCTGGGATCGAGCCCCACATCAGGCTCCCTGCTCCGTGGGAAACGTGCTTCTCCCTCTCCCACTCCCCCTGCTTGTGTTCCCTCTCTTGCTTATTTGATAGAGAGAGACACAGCAAGAGAGGGAACACAAGCAGGGGGAGTGAGAGAGGGAGAAGCAGGCTTCCCACTGAGCAGAGAGCCCAATGCGGGCCTCGATCCCAGGACTCTGGGATCATGACCTGAGCCGAAGGCAGACGCTTAATGACAGCCACCCAGGCGCCCCATAAATAAAATCTTAAAAAAAAAAAAGAAGGGGTATTCTACAACACAAAAACCTATAGTTAACATCATACTTAATGGTGTAAGACTGAGTATGTTTCTCCCACAACTGGAATCAGGGCAAGGATCTTCCTCTTCTCACTTTTCTTCTTCAACATTGTACTGAGGTCCTTGCCAGTGTAATAAGGGAAAGAAATAAAAAACACACTGATAAAACATTAAGGGGAGGGGAGAGACACTCTTGACAATAAGAGGGTAAAAGATTCCTTAATAATACAAAAGGAAAATTTTTGACTATGGTAAAAAGAATTATTCCAGTCCAGCCTAGAGCCTCTATATGTCTCATACTTTTCATTCCAGAGCATTTGCTTTGTATGTTAGGATACTCATTATTATAGTTGTAATCTTTGAGCAATGAACACTATTAATAAACTAAAATGTGATTAAAACAGCACAAAGTAACTAGAAAAAGTAAAATAGGTGTGTACGTGTGTGTGTATGTAATGTGTGCGTGTGTGGATATATCACCAAATGTAAAAACAAGCCTTATAATAATAAAGATGGAAAAAAACAAAAAATTTAAAAATTCTATATAGAACGTATTTTTGTATGCAGAAGCAAATTTGATTAATACTTTTTTTTAAGATTTTATTTATTGATTTGTGAGAGAGAGATCAAGAGAGAGAAAGCATGAGAGGGGGGAGGGTCAGAGGGAGAAGCAGACTCCCCACTGAGCAGGGAGCCTGACGAGGGGCTCAATCCTGAGACTCCGGGATCACGACCTGAGCCGAAGGCAGACACTCAACCGACTGAGCCACCCAGGCACCTGATTAATACTTTCATATAAAGTATGCAAAGAGCTTAATTTCTCCAAATCTAAAGGATAAACATATGCAGGTTGAAAGTAAAAATTACATGTATCACTAAGACATTTTTACAGTCAGAATTAGAGAATCAAATGCAATTACCAGCATTTAGAAAGTCAAACACTTTTCAATTTGAATTCTTATCTCAGAGAAAACACATGTTACTTTTAGGGAACACCACAAATGTCACGACATTTTATTTTTTAAAATACTTTTGAAATTTCAAGAAGTGTCAATTTACTCTGGCTAAATTTTTAAGTTATTTGTAATTTTAAATTTTATTTCATCATAATATAAACTGTCTCAAGATGTTTGGTCATTTCAAACACTGATTGCTACAGAAGAAATAATTTGCAGTATTTCCTTACTTTTAAATACCTTACATTGAACATAGTAACCTAAGGCTTCTCTGCCCGTAATAATTTAAGAAATGTTCATGTTTAAAAAAACAAAATTGGGGGGCGCCTGGGTGGCTCAGTTGGTTAAGCGACTGCCTTCGGCTCAGGTCATGATCCTGGAGTCCCTGGATCGAGCCCCACATCGGTCTCCCTGCTCCGCGGGGAGCGTACTTCTCCCTCTCCCACTCCCCCTGCTTATGTTCCCTCTCTCGCTGTGTCTCTCCCTGTCAAATAAATAAATAAAATCTTTAAAAGAATAAATAAATAAAATTTTAAAAATTAAAAAAACAAAATTAAATCTCAAAATCTTAAGTGCCTCCCCCAAAACATTTTGGAATACAGTGGGATTGGGTGGGGAGATAAACATACGAATTTGTATAGTTCGAGGCCTAACAACTCCCAAATACCTTTTATTTAATCTTGTTCACATTTAAGAATGAACATACCTTCAACAGGCCTAATCTAATTATAGAATCATTTTAAGGCATTCTGAATAATCATATCATTTATAGGTATTAAAGCACAACAAACTTTGGATTATGTAATTAAATTATTATAATTATGCTCTTAGGACATCTAAGAGGTTTCTTATGAAACCTCTTTCTTATCAGTTTCTTCAACACCAGTGAATGACAAGTAGTATGTTCCAAGACCATTACAACATTCTTAGACAAATTCAGCTTTATGAGACAGCTTATAAAAATATCAGAGAACACAATTTTTAGAGAAATTTCCTGAATAGGTTACATCACAAATAGGGGAAAGCCTAATTTGCCCCTCTACCAAAGAACTTTTTAAATAAGCCAATGATTTAACATCATGAGCATCTGAAATAAATTACTTCTTTACATGGTAAGTTCCAGCCTTGTCACCAGTCTCCTTCCCTATTGTATCCATGACTATTCTAACATGACTTTCCTCTAAGGGTCTTCAGCTTTAAATGGATAGACTCTGACATCAATAGTTCTTTATAGAGATGCCTACTCCATAAGCCTTCCTTTTTCTGAGGACATACTCAAAAGCATTTTTAGATATTATTTTTATATTTTCTTGTCAAAATGAAAATAGTTTTCTTATATTTCAAAGATAAAAATCACATTAGCATTCTTGGGAAAAAACTTTATTATTAGGGCTTTAAAATGCATACAAGATAACTGTAGTAGTACCTATAGGTAAATACAAGGATTGTGGGGGAAAAAAATTCTACTTCCTGCCTAGAGTACCTCTTAAGCTCCCTGTGCTGGCTACAATTTAGATAAAGTAGGACAACATGTGAATCTTTTTCTTTTGAGAGGTGATGAGAGAGGCAGGATGAAGCTGACAATGCAACTACTGAAACTCAAAGGGAAATTCTCTTAAGGCTAAATCTAACTGATGAGTACCTTCCCTAATAAGACTTCTGGACTTCCAAACAGATTCAGCCACTGGGGTGAGGGTGGGGGGTACCTGAAATAAGGGAAATTACTGTCAAGTTTGAATATTAATATTAAATTGAAAAACAAAAATGCAAAAGCATTTAGTATAAATCAACTATAAACAGTTATCACTTACTACTAGAAAAATTAAGAATTTAAGTGTATTTCACAAACTTCACAGAACAAAAACTTATACCACACTATTAATCTATTAGTTTCAATATTAAGGTTTATTTTTTTTCCAGAGTGAGATTAAGTAACAATTTAAATAATTATCTGTATGTATAAATGAACATCCATTCAGATAAAACATTACTGCTTAAAAGAGGCTACCTAAGAAATATTTTGTATGTAATAAATATATTTTATGTTTAGGTTAACAGGCACCATCTTGAGAGCAGAAAAGGTATTTTTAACCAATAAATAAATTACATTCAAGAAAACAAGATGTCTATATCTGAAGTATGATATATCCTTAAATGTTTTTCTTCATATAGCACCCAAACTTCCCAAATGTTTAGAAAGTATCTCCCAAAATATAACTCATACCTTAAGTCATAAAAATAAAGGCCAAGAAAAAATCAATTTAAGACAAAATGTACAGTTTATATTCTTAATTCCCCATTCAATAAAATATCAATTGCCAATTTATTAAAAGTAAATGAACTGTATATATGCAATCTGTTAATGCTGAAAATCTGAAATATAATATTTTTAAAAGTCACTCTTTCTCAAAGTACTTAAAATATTGCATCTCTGGTGGCAAACCTGAAAACTATCAAGCATTTTATTTCCCTAGTTTTCATTCTTTCACTCCCATCTCTATTCCTTTATCCTTTAACAGCCATCCATTGTTTTTTGTTTATTTTTTTGTTTTTGGTAAATATACTTACTTACATCCCAAACACAAAACACTGACAATACTCCTTGGTAAACAAGGAAATCCCAGAACAGTCCAAGCCTACAGCTTTGCTCCCAAAGTGTGGCACAGGCTAAATGACAGGGAAAAAAAAACAATGGCCCTTATTGATGCAGTCAGAATGCTCCTGAGAGTCCACAACTGTTTGAGAATTTGCTGATGTAATCCTGAAGACAGTATCAACATATTTTGCAGACAAATATCAGAGAATAAGTCTTTGATTGATAATTTTTCTATTTATTTCTGCCAAGGCGACTGAAAACACGAAAGCCTTTTCATCAGAGAGGTTAGCATAGATGTCAATTTCCTTTTCCTGTTTCTCTGTTAAAAGAAAAAGAGAAAGCTTAATGTAAGTGTGGTAATTAAAAAATACTTTTGAGGCTTTCAAGTATCTCTTTAGATGACAATAAATATACATAATACTAACAACATATATTACATGTTATACAGTATCATGCTACTAAACTGAAATTTTTTAAAAATGACACAAAGGAGTTATTGAAATGCCATGAACTAAATGGAAACTGTATATATATATATATCTCTCTCTATACACACCGTCTATAATATCTATATCATTTCTGTAAAAATCTCAAGTATTTCTTTCTCTTCACTAGGATGAGCTTACTGTCCAATCAAAATGAATTTTCTCACCCGAAAGATGGTCCCTTCTGAACACCAATAGTGCCTTTATGAATATATTAACTTCTTTACCTTAGCCCTGCTATAGAAAATAAGAATAACCAACATTTAATTCTATTTTTCCCTCTCCTAATTACAAATGCAATCCAAGTTCATGGTAGAAAATTGAAAAGTACAGAAAAACAAAAAAAGAAAATAAAACCCATATATATTATCCCAGAGCCAGCTAAAATCACAATAAACATCTTTGTGTATTCTGCCAACTTCTTTTTTCAGACTCTTCTATGATCGTACTTTTGTCTTTTTTTGTTTTGACTTTTTAATCAAAGTTAAATATATAGAGTCAAATCATTTTTATTCAACCTGTTACAAAATATGGAAGTCCTCCTTCTCTCATGCACGTTTCCCATACTCCAAGTGCAACTACTTTTTTTCAGTTGTTTCTTTTCATTTTTTACCTCTCTAAGCAACATTTTTATGTCCACTTCTTGATTTTAGGCATTATTAATTAATCTTCCACCATGAAAAGTTAGTATTTTATTGTTTTCCGTATCTTAAGCCCCGTAGTGTTCCTATCCCATCTTCCCATTACAATTACATCACAATTTAGGCAAGATCAATATTCAATGTTTACATTATTCTTCTGACTATGTAAATGATTTCACTTTTCCTGCACATTGTTTTTTTCCTGAGATTCTTTCTCCATCAGCTTAGTTTTCATTACTAATGAGTTGTACAGATCTTTTAGAATGTTTACACATACTAGATATTATATCAATTTTATTTTCTTGAATAAGTCTCTCCAAGTCTTCTGCTCAGTCTGAAATGGTTGATTTCTAGACCTGCTACACAATTATCATCAAGATCTCTCTTCAACATCATGCTGGATATAAACATCTTTCTCTTGAGTTGGACCCTGTGTCCTTGGATCCCAGGACACTTTCTTGGTTTACTTCTTCCCTTTGATGCCAGGATCTTGTAGTAGCTTCCTGAGAAAGGGAGTACAGGTAGCAAATTTTTTGAGACCCTGAATGTTAGAAAGTATCATTAGTCTACCTTCATGCTAATTCACAGTGTGGCTGACTAAAGACTCCTAGATTTCCTGAGTAGTACGAAGGCAAAAAATTGGCTTCCAACTAATGGTGCCACTGTTTTAAAAAGAGCCAATACCTTTTTTTTTTTTACAGCTATTTAAAACGTTATTGTTAAATTTACATACAGTGAAATACACAGATCTTAAAGTACAATTGGATGAGTTCTGACAAAATATACATCTACGTAACCCACACCACAATCAAGATACAGGAAATTCCTCATGCTCCTTTCCAATCAATTCCTCCCCACCTCATCAGCAACTACTGTTCTGATTATATCACCACAGATTCATTTGCCTGTTCTTAGACTTCATATAAATGGCATCATCTAGCATGAACTGTTTTGTGTCTAGCTTCTTTCATTCAACATGTTTTTAAAATTCATTGATGCTGTCTGTTCATATATGAGTAGTTTGTTCCTTGCTGGGTACTAGTCCACTGTATTAATTCCAAATATCACTTTCTTTTCTTGCTCTTTTTTCCCTGAGCACTTGAAGGAGTTTCCCTTTAACCAAAGAGATAGGATTTATGATGATAGGCTTTGGCATAATCTCTACTTTTAACCATCCACTGGTCTGGGAATTTGGTGGACCATTTCAATGTGGAAACTCAATGTCCTTCAGGTTTGGAAAAATTTCTTGAATTATTTCATCGATGACTTCCTTCTCCTCCATCTTCTATGTTCCTTTTTGGAACATCAGTTATTTATAGATGTTGACTTCAAACTGGTCCTCTAAATTTCTTATCTTTCCCATTCTATTTTTTTTTCTGTCTTTCTTTCTCTCTCTCTCTCTCTTTCTTTCCTAGAGAGAGGGAGAAAGAGAATCCTAAGCAGGCTTCCCACACTCAGCACAGAGCCTGACATGGGGCTCAATCTCACCACCCTGAGATCGTGACCTGAGCCGAAATCAAGAGTCGGATGCTTAATCGACTAAGCCATCAGGTGCCCCTTTCATCTCTTTTTCTATTTCTCTGCATTCTGGTACAATTCTTTAATTCTGTCAATAAACATGTTAAAGTTTTTCATTTCTGCAATCTTTATATACACACATATTTTTTTAGATTTGTATTTTTAAAGTTCATTTTCTAGGTACTTTTTTGACACCTGCTTTTCCATTTAAATATCATCTTGTTCTTGTTTCATGACTACAATATCTTCTCTTGCTAAAAACATTAACAATAGTTTTAAGTTTTTCTCTTTCCTGCAAAATCCTGTTTTATCCAAGTTATTGTTTTTTCCCTGTTGTTTGGTCTTAGCCTTTCATATAGATGCTTTCTTCTGTATTTCTGAGTAATTCTTGATAATATGCTCATATTTAAGAATGGGATCCAAAAAGATGATGAGCTCATACCTATCTGTGGAGCTTGACTGTGATCACCAATTTAGGATGATCTGACTGGGCCATTTGTGAAATCCCTAATGAAAGTTCCTTATATTAGGCCTTTTCTCTTGGGTTTTTCAGATTTCCTAGAGAAGATACTGCTAATTCTCCTACCTCGAAGATCCAAGCCTGACCACAGAACTCAGTATTTACTATCTCCAATTTTCACGTAATCTTCCTGATCTCAATATAGTATCCCTGCCCTCAGTGACACCTGGTGTTCCATTAAATCAGAGAGACTGTTTTGTTTTCTCTTTTTGAAAGGATAAATTTGGAAGGAGGGGAAAATGAGGTAAACAGCCCTAGCAGGCCATTAAGAAACAAGACTTCCAAACAATCTCATTTTTAGCCTCACCTTCACCTCTACACTTCCAGACATAACTGATGCACAAATTCCTGACCTTAAGGCAGCTGTGTAATAAAAATCATTTTTTTAATTAGTTTTTCCCAAAGGGGCTGACAGTTTAGATTTCATGGGTCTACTAAAGCAGTTATCACTTTCTAGAATTCTGCTGCTTTTCCCATTCCTTGTCCTTGTGAAATTTGGTCCTTTTAAAAAAAAAATCCCTTTACTATAATATTACTAAGATTTGAGGATGATGGAGAGCATGGTGTGGTTATTCAATCTACCAACTTGAACTTGAACTCTACATAAATCTTGTATGTTCATTAATAAGATATTCAGAATTGCCCATTATATTTTAATCTAAATGTCACTCCTACCTTACTAATATTCAAAATAACCATACTCCCCTCATATAAAATGAAAACTTATCTTAAACCAACCAAAATTTTTAAGTTTAATGGTTTGTTTTTATGATTGTATAAAAATATTTTGCTATCTAGATATCTAACAAGCTTTCCTTTTCCATTCTTTCTTCTTCCTATTCTTTTTCAAAATATAGAAAACAAAGTCAATTAAAAATGTGTTTTTTATACATAAACTGTCCTTACAAAAGGTAAAGCTTGCTTCAAAGTTTTCAAGTACCCTATGAGCAAGAAATCAATAAAAACTGAATTACAGTAAATAGCTAGTTAATACTAAGAAGCATATGAAAGAAGTCTATTCTAAAATACATAGAGATTTCAAAAGTTCATATTTCTTATCCATATTATATTTCGGGAACATGGTCTGCCTCAAGGGTTGGTAAAATACAGCCCAAGGTCAAATCTGGCCTGCCACCTGTTTTTATAAAGTCTTACTGGAACACAGCCAGGCCCATTTATTTACATATTGTCTATGGCTGCTCTCCAGCTACAACGACAGGGCTGAGTAGCAGCAATAGAAGGCTGTATGGCCCACAAAGCCTAAAATATTTATTATCTGGTTCTTTACAGAAAAAGTTTGCTGACCTCTTCCCCACCCCGCCCCCATGGCCTACATGAAAAGATTCCAGTTTATTCTACAAAAATTGCTTTGAGCACCTTCCTGTTTGTATTAAAAATAAATCAAAAGCATATCTTACTCTAGAAATAGCTTAAAACTTTTCTATTAATAAGCTCAAAATATCAGGAAAAAAAAATGATAGCTAACTAAATTCTTTTCTCAAGTTAACATGAATAAAAGTTCAGACCTGCACATACAGATTCCTAAAACAACTATCTAGATTTCATTTCCCCAACTAAAAGACTGTCATTATCTGTTTGCTCATCTCCTCTCACTCACCACCAGAAGCATTCCTTCTCCATTCTTTGGGTTATACTCCCTTTACTTCAACTGAAAAGAATGTCCTGTTTTCTGGGCCAAGCAGTATTTCTCTGGATTTTTTGTTTTTTTCCTGCCTAGTTTCCCTGCTGAAGCAGTTTTTAGCATAGATTTTTCTGATCATCCCATGTTAAAAAACACATTCAAATTTAGAAAATAACTCAAACTCTCTGGAAGAGCAGCATAAGAGAAGGAAAAAGAAAATGGAGTACTATTACCCAAGGAATTACGGAATATCTAAGTATTCTTCAAAGAATACAGTCAAATATGATATAAGCCTTATTCCTTTAGCCATACAATACTAAGACACCATTAACTCTGAAAAAGCTAAAGACAGCTATACCGGTGAAGTTATTTTCCCTAACAGTCATAACTTTACTGAAATAAAAGCATACAAAGCAGATAGAAATGGTAAACAGGTTAAAAAAAAGTCTCAATGTCTAAAATAAAAGAAATTTACACTTATGCTTGAATATCTAAAACTGAATGCCTGAAAAAGCAAAGCATAACTCACCAACAAGATAAATTATAAATGCATTTCACTGAAGATGAAATTATTTTGATAGATGTTTTTAAGTAATTATAAAGAGCAACCATCCCTTTTTTCCATTAATTACAGGCTTGAAAGTCTCAATTGTAAAAGATATTCATTCACGGCCATACAGGGGTTCATTATCCTAGTCTAGTCTCTCTACTCTTGTGTCATCTCTGAAATTTTCCAGATAAAAGGTTTTTTAGAAGATGTATAAAAAGAGAAGCTGAAGTTTTAGTTAATGTGTTAAAAACAAGTTATTGGCAGACATACTACTTATCAGAAGAAAGGAGAAAATCTATAAGGAGAAATATGAATATATTTTGGACCAAGAAGAATTTACCTAACTATCCAAAAGCTGCCTCAAAGTAGGGAGGACATAATGAGCAATTTAAAAATTCATACTGAAGAATACTTTCAATATTAAATTTTAAAACTCATAGTGTAACAGTTGGAAATAAGTCTAACAACTCAGATTTATCTTTAAAAACAAACAAAAAAACAACCATTTTAACAGGCTTCTCTAGGTTGTCATATACAAATTATCTCTGAACTCTACTATCATCAGTTTATAGCAAGGTGAATTTTACCTAATTTGAGCCTTTATAGCTTTGCAATAAGAATTAAATTCTGTGATTTAAAAAAAAAAAAAAGCATCTACCCTGGAGGAAATGTTTTCAAACTAAAATAGGAGTTGTGATTTTAAGTCCAGGAGCTCAATGCCTACCAAACACTTTCTTTACTACTATCTAATTAAGATCTAGAAAAATTTAATACTTGAAAAACAAAACTGCTTGGATTTATTCATACCTCTTTCTTCCTCATGTTTTTTGGCAGATGCAGTTTTAGGTCTTCCTCTTCCTCGTCTGATATGATCTGAATGGCTGTTACTTCGAGACCTCTTTCTGTTTTCTAAATCCTTATTTACTGTAGAATTTATCTTCTCTCGCCTAACTCTCTCTGTTCGCCTCCTCTTGGCCTCATGCTTGTTTTCTGTATGGATGAATAAAAGTGATATATTTTAGGGCTTAGCAAGAACTGTTTGCCCAAGTTCTCATTGTCTTCTTTTTCTTTCTAAATAGCACTAGAGTTTTTGCTGCCTGGCATATTTTATAAAACTACAACCATAACATCTACGTTCCTCACACCCACACAGGAAAAAAAGAAATTCAACAGAATTCAGATCCTCATTAACTCATGAGGTAGGAGGAATTGTAACAAGACCAGTTTTTTTATTTGGCACCTTTAATTTCAGCCCCTACATGTTCACATAATTTCACAGCGATCTTTCTGCCTTTTTCCTTCTCTCTGCTTCCAAGCTAAAAATGGTAAAGTATTAGAAATTCCATTCCTTTTTGCCCCCTACTCAAATTATAGACTGAAATATGTCAAATATACAGAAGCAAAACTGATCTTAGTCATAATACGTTAAGGTTACCAATAAAAAGCAAACAGAAAACATCCACAGAAAATATAAAAACACTAGGGAAGTAATAAGTAGTTTTCACTTAGCCACAGATGAGATCATTTCTGACATTCTCAGAGCATGCAGATCCCTAAATGGAATAGCAAAAGGGGAACTTTACTCAATATGGTGATTTAATTAATGCCAAGAAGCCATCCTTCTCACTCCAAACAATTCAAAATGTTGGATAAGGCAAACAACAAATTAAAAAAAAAAACTTGCTTTAATACATACCTGAACTCAAAAGCAACAAAGAAAATTCCCCAAATACGTAAAACCACAATGGTAAAGGGCCAAAATAGATAAAATTCATATCCCAAGAAGGTAACAAAAGATTGTAATATAAGTATGCTTAATAGGCTAGTGTAAAATTAAAAAAAAAAAAAACAACTTTTAAGTAAAATGGTAATGGTTATTTCGAAATGCTATACCCTTAGAGAATTAGTTAATTCTAATCTCAGATATATACCAGATGATGCAAGAACACTTAATTATTCCAGATTGCAGGGAAGTTATCAAAGACAACCAGGGTCTTGTTAAAGGACTAAAGGGCTAACTTGAAAAGGCTCCCCCTGGCCACTTTACGACAATTCGAGCATCAACACAAATAGTAACTGTAATAATAAATTGGAACACCAAATATACTTAACACTACGAGTACATGACATTAAACTAAAAAAACACAAGCAAAAACTACTTGGCCACCATAGGAAGATGCTAAAGAACCAACTCCCTATTTTGAAAGCTTAAATAGAAAGAATAAAGCATTTATCCTGCCTTTTCTATTCAAACTGTACCACTCACTGGGTAACCAAAGGACAGATAAAGAGAAGTTTCTAATTTAAGAATTACTGTGGCTAAAAAATGAAGAATGATAAAATCAAAGTATCACCATTTTTCTTAAAGATTTTATTTATTTATTTGAGAGAGCAAGTGAGCACAAGTGGGGGAGAGAGGTAGAGGCAGAGGGAGAAGCAGGCTCCCCACTGAGCAGGGAGCCCAACGTGGAGCTCGATCCCAGGACCCCTGGATCATGACCTGAGCCAAAGGCAGACGCTTAACCGACTGAGCCACCCAGGCACCCCAAGTATCATCATTTTCAACCAGAAATGAACTAAAGGATGTAAGTGCTGAACATAAATAGCTGCTAACATTACAAAAACAGAGACAAGCAGACTTTATGTGTCACCTGACAGAATACCTAACTATTAGGTAGTCTTATCAAGAAAATCAAATCCCATCAAGCTTTTGAATCCAAATTACAATTTACAGGAAAAATAAGTCACTGGAGAAATGTGTTATCCTACATTCCTACACCATGAAGACCCAAATAGCACATCCAGATGTACATGTGATAGCTTCTTCAACATACAATTTGCAAGGAAAAAAAAGAAAGAAAACAATAGATAAAAGAGAGCTAAAAAAGACATTGCCCATACGTAATGTGTGGACCTTACATAATCTGCTTTTTAAAACTTTATTTTTTTTTTTTAAAGATTTTATTTATTTATTCATGAGACAGAGAGAGAGAGGCAGAGGGAAAAGCAGGCTCCCCGCTGAGCAGGGAGCCCGATGCAGGACTCGATCCCAGGACCCTGGGATCATGACCTGAGCCGAAGGCAGACGCTCAACCATCTGAGCCACCCAGGCACCCTTTTCAAAACTTTTTTAAAAAGTTTTTACGAGACACCTGAAAACATCAACACCAGTTGGGTATTTAATATTAAGGAATTACTGTTAATTTTAATTGTGCTTATATTTTTAAAGGTCTATCTTTTAGAAACATATAATGAAACATTTATAACAAATTATATGAGATTTGCTTAAAAATAATATGCAAGAGGGACACCTGGGTGGCTCAGTCGGTTAAGCAACTGCCTTCGGCCCGGGTCATGATCCCAGGGTCCTGGGATCGAGTCCCGCATCGGACTCCTTGCTCAGCGGGGAGCCTGCTTCTCCCTCTCTCTTCCTCTGCTTGTGCTCTGTCAAATAAATAAAATCTTAAAATAATAATAATAATAATAATAATAATAATAATAATATGCAAGGGAAAGAGTAAACATGGGTATAAATGGGGCCAGGTTGGCCATTTTCCTTCTGCTCTTGTGTATGCTTAGAATTTCTCAAAAAAAAAAAAAAAAAAGTTGAAAGAAATAGTGATAGGTAAAGCTTTTTATAATATGCCTTTTCAAGTTCAACAATGAATTTAGGTTTGTTCCTCCGGCTACCCACCCATCTCTGCAAACTTCTCAAAAAAGAGCTATCTGTACTTTCTGCCTTCAATTTCTCACCTCCCATTCACTAATCAATCCACTCCAATACAGATGCCCACTCAATGAAATGGATCAAGAAGGGCAAAAATCTCTGTTATCAAATCTAACAGCACCTGTCTCTAATCATCTTAATACCATCTCTCAAAAATTCAAAAAGATGACTACTCTTTTCCTTAAATTATTCTTCACTTGATTTTCAGGTTTCCAGGTATCCCATCTCACCAGTCATTCCTCTCTATCTCCTTTTGGTGTCTTCTCCCCCAGGTTCTTTCTCATCTTTAATATTAAAGCCTAGGACTCTGATCTGAGCCCTCTTCTCTTACTTAAACTCTGTCGAGATAATCCATAGATCCAAACATTACACTCTATGATTGATGATGGTTCCAAAATTTATACTTTCAACTCCGACCTCTTCCCAAAGTTCCAGACTGCCTACCCAGCAGCTTCACTCTAGTATCTTACAACGATTTCATATGTATCAAAAAATCACTCTTGATTTTCCCTCTTCCAAAGCTTCATTATATTAGTAAATAGTATTACCCAATTGCAAAAGCCAAATAATTTGTAATTATCTGGGACTCAGCCTGCTGCTTCTTATATCATCACAAATGTCCACAGGTACTCCTTGCAAAATATATCCACAATTTCTTCATCACTCTACGTTGATGGGCAACATCCAAACCAAATGCATTTCCTACATAACTGCCAAAATTATCTTTAAAAAATTCAAAAAAATTCAAACTGCATAGCTCCCCTTCTAAAATCTTTCATTAGCTTTTCACTGTATTTAAAAATAAAGTCAAACTTCCTTACCAAAGCCTACAAGTGTCTATAAGACCTGACATTTGCTTCTCTCTCCAATCTTCTCTCATACTGCAACACTCTGTTCACTATACTCCAGACATGCCTTCCTTTTAATAAAACAAGTTCCTTTCCTCCCCTTAAATGACTGCACTTGCTAATCCTTCTGCCTAGAGCTCACATCCCAAAACTTTTAATAAGACCACTTATTTACTTCAAATGTTGATTTATAGGTTACCCCTGAGCCTTACAGCTCAAATTACTTTTTATAATCTAATACTATGTTATTTACTTATATGCTCAATCCATTAGAATATAAACTCCATGAAAGTTGGGATGCCATTTGTCTGTCTCATTCACAGAATCTAGAACGTCATCGACACACATTAAGTAGTGCTGAATAAATAAAACTTATTTAGACGGAGCACATGCATCTACCGTCCCCTTTCTGGAAAATCCCACTGAAAAGAGAATAAACACGAGTAAAGGTAAAGAGAAAATGGAAAATAGGTCTGTACTGATGGAAACAAGGAAAGGATGCTACCAATCACCCGAAATTACAGAATTACAGCAAACCAGCAAACTCACAGATTCTGATTAAGAAACCAGAATAGGGGGCACCTGGGTGGCTCAGTCGGCGAAGCCTCTGACTCTTGATTTTGGCTAAGGTCATGGTGTCAAGGTAATGGGACTAAGCCCAGTGTCAGGCTGTGCTCAGCGGGGAGTCTGCTTGAGATTCTCTCTCTCCCTCTGCCCCTCCCCGTGCTCATGCTCGCTCTCTAAAATAAATAAATCTTAAAAAAAAAAAAAAAAGAAACCAGAATAGAAGACACTACAATCCAAAACAGAAACAAAAGATGGCTCCTATAGAAAGGAGAGCTGTTCTTCCCCAAAATACTCCCAGGACAGAACAAAAAGTACAAATAAGAGAGAGCAGGCCACAGAGTGATCATCAAAATACTTACAGGACTACTGCAGAGCAAATGACATAAGGAAGTAAAGCTCTCAGGAACCAAGCAATGTTCCAAAGAACTATGAACCTCCAAAAAATAGAAAACACAAACAAATGGCAGCTCCTCATAAAAATGAAATAATATAAAGAATTTCACATTCTCTCCCAGGATGAAGCTTTCCTTATTTTAGCCATGATGGAATTCAACAATGTCTCCCAGCTCGTGTAATCTACCAATAAGCTCCTCCCAACTGTAAACTGAAGAGATCTATAGTCAAAATAGACCTTTAAAACAGTGTAGGATATGGGGCGCCTGGGTGGCTCAGTCGTTGAGTGTCTGCCTTCAGCTCGGGTCATGATCCCAGGGTCCTGGGATCGAGCCCCACATCGGGCTTCCTGCTCTGCAGGAAGCCTGCTTCTCCCTCTCCCACTCCCCCTGCTTGTGTTCCCTCTCTCACTGTCTCTCTCTCTGTCAAAAAATAAATAAAACCTTTAAAAAAAA